ACCTGTAGTATCCACAATGCAAATAGTGTCTGCTGGAGTAAATGTAACAGAAAACAATGAACCTCAGTGGAGGAGAGTTACGTTGAGTAGCATCGATTAATTTAAATAAATTAAAACAAAATGTATTTGAATAATTGTAGTTTTCACATTTACCATTAGGTGGCAGTATGCAACTGTAAAAATCCACCCTTTTCTCTCAACTGTCTTCACCTGGAAGTCGAAGACGGGTTTAGTTTGACTCTGCGTTGACAGGGACTTTAGATCTAACAATAAAATATTGACAGATAGTTGTTTAGGAGGGGGGTGGGGCGTCAAAAATGGCTGACAAGAGGTCATTTGGATCTTAATTAAGCAGCAGAAGAAGAACACTAACGAGTAATGACCCATATTTGAGAGGAATGGATTTGTGCCCTTGTGAAGGTTAAAGTTGAGGTTGACAGAGACGGGGGGGGAGAGATGTGCAAATGTTTGGAGACACTTGAGAGATCGAGGACGACGATAGACGGAGGATGTACGTCGAGGGGACACGCAGAACTACAGAGGGAGCGTGAGAGTGCACTTCTGGAGAGTATGGAGGCGTTTAAAACCGTCATAAAGAAAGAGATAGAGTCGACCAGTGAGCGAGAGAAGTTGTCCGTTCGGTCACTCAAAGTTTAATCTCGGCTCAGCGGGAAGTTCTGATTTGGTCAGACTGAACCCGAGGCCTTATCCGAGTACCTCTCAGTGGAGCGATAGAGCGGGAAAAAGAGAGGAGACGGGGGGGGGGGGGGGGGCAGAGATGGCAGCAGGGAGAGGGATTTGCACACAATGACTCTTTGCCATCGGGGGGAAAAAGTGGCTGAATGAAGCAGAGGAAGACAAAGCCAGTAATAAGCTGGACAGATGAGGGGGGGGGGGCTTTGAGATCATGCAGCAGAAAAAGGCTGTGATGCTTTTCTTCCCAGGAATGTCCCAGAGGAGTGGACGAGCTCGTGCTGCTTCGTTTCCTTCCCTCACCTCCCCCAGGTCACCTCTTGAGCCCCCCTTATCCTCCCTCTCCGTGCACACACACACAGACACACACACATATAGAAACACACACGGCCTTCACGTTCCTCTTTTCTCCGGAGAAACACAAGCTTCCTACCTACTGAACCTCTGCTTCTCCCCACCGTCTCCTGTCCTCCGTTTGTTTACTTTACTCCCTCCATAATGCAGGGATTAATTTCTGAAAGCCGATTTGAGCGGCGGCACGCTCTGGCAAAGAGCGGAGAGCAGAACTTTTGTACTCGGGGAAGTTTCCCCTTCACACTAGCTTAGAGGTGGACCGCTCTCCCCTTTATGCCGCTCACTTTAATCTCCACACAGAGCGCAGGGAGCGAGGGATGGAGAGGAGGACAAGAAGGAGAGAGGGCTCTCGACACACGGCTGCGAATCACTAATGTCTTTACAGAGGTGTCGTCTGCTTCCCCATGTGCCTCCTTGAATCCTCTTCCACCACCTCTCTTTCTTTCTCTCTTTACTTTATACAACATGTTTTTCTTCTTTGTTTTTCAACTGCAAACGTTTCTTGTTATAAGGTTTGATCTTACAGCGATTAAAGGAACAAAGCAGATACACAATGCCCACGGCCGAGTGTGAAAGAAGAAGAATTTAGCTGTTTTACCACCAACTGATTTATTGTTAAGTTTGCTGCAATGAGAGAGAAAATGCTCATTTAAGCAAAGGTGAAGTATAATTTTCAAATGTCACTATTTGCCCAACCAGTGGTTTGAAATCCAAATATATTTAACGGCAGTTATTTAGTTTATTATAATAATAAATCACTTCAAATCAAGAATATAGGACAGGATGGTGACCTTGTACGTTTGAAGGTCTTCTGCACAATTTAAGTTACCAACCTCCTTCAGATGTTAGCAGGTGTTAGCGGCCACCAGCGGATGTTGGGGACGTAATGTCAGTTGTGCACCTTAGCGCCATCAAGTGTTTTGGTCTTGAAATCAACGACACCGAACTAAATATTGATAATAAATGTTTTTTTATAGCACTTTTCAAGAACAAAAAGCAAAGAACCTGGAATAAAATAGTTTTTGTTTCATAATCAACTCAAACATTTCATCAAAATGTTCCATCGTTGGACTCATCTATTCATCGACCTCTGACTATGTGAAGTTTCTTTCCAACAGGAAATGCACCACTTGTTGAATTGCTTACACCTCAGGGCCCCACTTGCGTGTGTGTGTTGTAATTTGCTGAATTATTTACAGGCCTTAAACACCGACCAGCCACACTGATGGGTGAGAGTGAAAAACATTGATTATCTTGTGATGCATGAGCCAGTGAGTGTGAGCAGGAGCAGCGGGGGAGTGTTTATGGATCTGAACGGATCTGCGATGGCTACACGACGTCAGAGCATCTTTAAACCACCTCTGGAGGAAGGACGACCGGCGAACCAGCATCAGGGTCACGGACGCCCGAGGGTCATGTTGTTGCGTGTGGGAGCGAATGCAATTTCACAGACAATCTTCCTTTGCCTCATGGGGCTGGGAGCTGTAGACCAATCAGAGGGCTCATGCTGATCTCTGTCCACCGCTGAAAGCTACTGCAGTGGACACGTGAGCGTCACGACTAAAGTAACGAGCGATGGAAGATGGTCTGGTCTGATTATTCACATTTTCTTTTATGTCAAGTGGACGACCGGGTGCGTGTGTCGTTCAGATGTGGCAGCAAGATGCACCATGGGAAGAAGACAGGTCTGCTCTGGGCAGCGTTGGGTTGTGACGTTCACTTTGTCATGTACCTAAACATTGTTGAAAACCAATTACATCTCTTCTTGGTCTTCTGGGATGGCAGTGGTCTCCTTCAGCAGGAAAACACACTCTAGGTTCCAAGGAGGTTCCTGGTTCGAATCCCTGGTCGACCATGGGCCTGAGATGTTTTTGTTCGTCTGTTAGTAAATTAGCAGGATTACGCAAAAATTACAGGACAACTTTGCACAAAATGTTGTGATTTCTCAGAAATCATGGCACATTTCGGGGGCTGATATTGTGTGTGAGAGAAATGTGATGCAGATGTGTATCCAGTGGATTTTAACGTGGTTTCAGAAGGGGGTTGTTTGCAGAGGTATGTGCCATGAGCCAAGCGATGGATTTCAGGTAGCACAATGTTTATTTTTGCGTTTTCGAAACACAGCCTCCTTCGATCTCATTTACAGTGAATAAACAAGCAGATCTGATTGAGGATTTGTGCGAGAACCATGAGAAGCCTAATAAAACACAACACCCCCCCCATCGCCACTGAGGAGAATTACTGTGGGATATGTTGTTTGCATACTAAGACATCATACTCAAGCTAATAGCATTTATTATGTGGGACCACAGAGGAATAGGAGGCAGATAGCAGTTGATTAGCCACGCTCATTGCTTCATTTAGCATGTGTGCAGCTGCTAAGACGGCTTGTGACCCAGAGCACGCAGGAGTCAAGAGTCAGGGCTGTTTATCATTTATATCATGTGGAGTACAGCCTGCAACATATTTTCGCCTATATTTTACTATCCATCATGTTCTCATAGAGTAATCTGTTGAGAATGACGCTTAACAGCTTTGCAATTAACGCACAAAATATTTGTTTGTAAATGTAAATCAATGCATCAACATGAATTTAGAGCTGCTGAGCGTCGAGCTCGGTTTGTAACTGAGCTTCTCTGTGTTTTTCCTCATCACATTTCATCGCTAACACAAGCTGGAACTCTACGACTTCGACCCCAAGCCTCCGATAATGAATTATCTAAATCCAGTGTTTCTGAAGCATGAGCTCAGACGCTGCTCTGTCGGGGTTCCACTAAGCAGCATCCGAAGGAGGTGATGTTTGATTGCGTGGGAGGTTTTGGAAAGCCGGAGCCAGCGATGGCACCGAGATGAAACTCATTAAGTCTCAAACTCCAATCCTTGACTCCAATAAGGCTGTAATATAAAAAGTATGGATCTCTGCTGCAACTGTACGAGATAAATAAATAAAAAACAGATCTCGCTCTCAGATGCAGGCCCATGGATCGTCAACACGCTCACACACACAGTTTTATGCACACACACTGACCCATGTGTAGCAGGCCCAGACGTGCGCACCGGCAAACTCACTTCTACACACCCACACAGTTGCCCACAGCAATCCCACGCAAAGTTAATTTGCATTTACAATCATTTCCCATATGCTCAGTGCTGGTGTGGGCGTTGTGTAATAAAGCAGTAAGTAATATAACCTGAGTCCAGGAGAGAGAGAGACAGAGCGACGTGATAAGTTTGGATGGTGGAGTCGTCGAGTGTAAGAGAAACTCAACCGAGTGGATACGGGGCATTAACCTCAGAACACAGATAAGTACGTGAGGCCCAGACCGCCTCAAGGTGCGAGAGTCCGGCGCTTCGTTTCTTTGCACCAGAAGTGAAGTTAAAGGGCGGACAGATAATTGGGAGAGTTCATCATTTAGAGCCTGTCCACCATTACTGCTGAGCGCCTCTGTGTCGCTACATCCTGTTTCCTCAGGCCTAACGCTGAAACCTGAGTTTAATCTGGGAAATGTGCTCATGCAGATTCTGGAGTTTTTGTTAAAAGAGACCTGTTTTTAGACGACTCCTGGTGGTGACAGTGAATAGAATTGATTCAAAACTATTTTAACTTTACCCAAAACCAAACACACAAATGCATCAACACTATACTCAGCAGTCATTGCATACTATATAAATACATGTAAAACAATGTACTCATGGGCACAGCAGGCAAAACGTATTAAAAACAAGAAAACCTGTAGCAAAAATAAAAAACAAACAAAAGCTAATATCATTTTATAGTGAGCGATGTCAATCGTTGGTTCTGCCTCAGCATGATGCCTCCGGGCCGGGTCAGGCCACAGGACTTCATCTACATCACAGGCCGTCCTCTCCCTTTTTTCCTGGGTATACTGGTTTCAGTTTCACACTTTCCATTCTTTCATTTCAGAAAAGACAAATTTAACATCGGCTTGTATTGTAATTTTTTAATAACACGTTTCTATATTGCAACAGCCATCAGATTTTCTTCTAACAAGTAAAAATCATCGAAAACTAACAAAAGAACAAAAAAGAACTTTTCAGTTTTATATTCCAAACACCAGTGTTTTCTTAGCTATGGCCCTAAAATTCAAACAAATAAAACCCTTACACAGTGAGCAAGATATTAAATCCAACACGTTCTTCAAACAAATTATAAAAATAGATTTCGCATTTTCAAATACATATTTACAGTATTAAACATAATGGTTACAGTAACAGAGGCGGGATAGAGGAGGGGGGGGAGGATTCGAGTTTCATTCATCGTGGTGACGAGGTCGTCTGTTGTTTGTTCGTGATTGTGTGTGTGTTTGTGTGTGTGTGTGTGTGTGTGTGTGTGTTGTGTAAAGGGACCATCCGAGTGTTTTCCAGATATGTGTGTGTGATAACGTCTATAAGGACATATGACTAAAACTCATCTTGTACCAAATACAAACCAGACCATACAATATTCCGGCCAAAAATGTTCGTACGCTCGAGTGTGAAACCGTGAAAAATCTAACGATGCCCCGATAAACTTCTTCCTTCAAACCTCCTGTTTTTAAATAGGACAGAAAAGGCAAGGGGCCGATCACTGTACAGAGAGGATTCTGGGAGTTCGAGAGTGCAACCACATAGCGTGGCAGAGTGCGATAGAAACAGCAACACAAAACTATGATAATCCGACAGCAACAAAGAAAGAAAATAGCATCTCATTGACATTCTGTAATACTGTATCCATGCTACACACAGCAGATCCAATGATAGTGGACCTGGAAGAATACATAGAGATTAGCTGTGTCCCAATTCATTTGAAGACTAGTGACAAGGCCGCTCCATCGCGAACGATCCCCAAACTACGAAGGCTTCAGCGGGTGAATCCTCGATCCCAGGACTCCTTCACTGATGAGACCAAAATGTCAGACGCTCACACTTTTAAAAATTAACCGAACAACATTACGCAATTTAAAAAAAAACAAGGAGCATTAAAAAAAACGTTCTTGTCGGGTCCAAGTGCTGCTCTGTTGCTAGGCAACAGCGGTAAGGACGGGACAAGCTGGTGACTCAAGTTCACGGGAAAATCATCCGTAGACCAAATCATTTCATTTCTGTTTCGGTCAACGCCTTCAACAGGAAGGTGCGTCATTGAATTGGGACACAGCTGCTGTGTGCAGACCAAAAATCCTCACTTCCTGTAAAAACAACTGATCTGTTCACGCTCATCATGTAACAAATCAAACGACAAATCAAACAGAAAAACGGAAACGACGAGACATTGCTCAACATTATTTTTTAGTTAAATACTTTAAGTTAAATAAACCTTCTCAGCCTCTGGTTCTGCAGAGGTTTGCGTCAGAGTCCGTAAACATAAATAAATACGGATAAATAACTGAATCGATGCCATCTTCCAGAGTTGGCCTGAGTTCTGTACAGAGGATTAAACTTGGTGGTGAGAAAGAGAAGCCTTTGGAGGGGGGGGAGGATTAAACTGCTGAGATGAAATCCAGTGGGCCAACGGAGGAATTAGAAGAAAGAACGAAGGGAGAGCACAGAGGAGGAGAGAAAGACAGAGGGAATAAAGAAATGTTGCGAAAGAGAAGCGAACGTAAAACGAATGAACGAACAATCAAACTCATTTTATACCTTTTGCTTTACAACTGGATCTTGCAGCGTTTGTGGCCCACAACTTACTGTCGCTCTGTTCATCCGGTAATCACACTTTAAATACTGTACGTGGCTCTATTCAGAACGCTCAACCTGTTTTTGTGCGTCCAACTCTTCTAAACTTAACACGGGACAGCTCGGTCTTCTCAAGCCGCCGCTCTGAAAACACAGGTAACGTTCCAGCCACGTTGAATATTCAGAAATGTCCCTTTAATCGCATGATTCCGCGTCGTCATCGTAAATGAGTCTGATGTGAGTTTAGCTGTGCCACGTCTGAGGACAGAGTCATTTCATCCAAGGTCTGTAAAACAGTAGATATATTGTTTTCGGGTGAATCGATGTCGTGTGTAAAGGGAAACTTCCACCCCCCCTTAAAATTGTGTTCCTATGACAACTGGTGCGCTTGCAGCGTAATAAATCTCTGCCTCCTGCCGAGGTCAGGTCCGGACCAGAGCCCCCGTCCCGCTGGAGACGGCGTCTCGTTTGATTCTTACGCACTGATCCGCAACCGGCGAGACAGAGCCGACACAGTTATTGAAGGTCAAAGTGCAGATAGAGGTCACACACGAAAAAAAGTCACATGACATCACTCCTCTGCAGCCCATTCCTCATACCGGTCGTCTCCAGCAGGGGGGGGGGGGGTCGTTTACAAAAAAAGGAAGGAAGGTTATCAAGGAAGGCATGAGGAAGTGTGGGGAGGAGGAGTAAATAGAGGAGTGCGGTTGGCTGAAAGATCTGCTCATCTTTCCGTAAGTTTGGAAGAGCGCTCTCTCTCTCGCTCTCTCTCCCTCTCTCTCTCTCTCTCTCTTCCTCTGCCTCCTCATCTGTCTGCAGCAGCAGCAGCAGCAGCAGCAGCGTGAGACTCAGCGCGTCGGCCGCTCCGTCAGACCTGGACACCGCGGCCGTGCATTTGGATGACCTGGGCTCTGAGGGTCTGGATGGTGGCCAGTATCAGCTTCTGGTGCTCCAGGGAAGTGATGCCAAGGCTCAGGACGTCTCTGTGGACACACATCGAGATTTACACTGATTTATTGGACTTCTAATAATTTGATGCTCAGATTTGTTCAAGTTCATTTATTTTGCGGCTCATCGCTCAAACACTTGGCTCGTCGACGAGCCAAGAACTTTCGTCACGTTCTTCAAACTGAGGACCGCCCCCTGAAGCTGATTGATGAAATAGATTCACAGAGACTTCCAGCTACTGTCAGTAACTCAATGTCAGTGACAGTGTTTCACAGTTAAACAGATTCAGGACTGTCAGTCCGCTGCACATGTAAACACCACAGACTGTGTATAAAGATGGACGACGAGACAGGACACCCCCTTGTGGCTGGCTGCAGTACAGCTCGTAAATACCGCCTCCTCCATGTTAGCAGATGGCACACAGACCAAACTACCAAACAGTCCAAATATCAAATAAATGTAGCTTCTGTCATTTAAAGGAGTTCATATCACACTGGGGTTTGTTCATGTGTTCATTTCTATGCTAAGTAACAATGGTGTCAGTTTACCAATTCAAGCCCGACTCAGATATTAAAAGTCAGGATAAACTCCAGTCAACTTTGGAAACAAGAGTGAAGTAGCAAGTTTCACAGTGGAAAGTTTTTATATTAGTTGTTCTGTTAAATTTCATATGTGATGTTAATATAATGTAATGTTATAATGTCATCTCCATACATGCTCCTTGGTGATGTTGAACATTTACAGAGAATAAATCCAGGAACGTAAACAACTTATTTTTACAAAGAGCTTCATGACGCATTCAAGTAATGTGAAAAACCTTAAAAGCATAATAATAATACCTTTATTTTTTATTGAAATGTCAAGTAAATTCAAATAAACTTTTATCCAGAAACCAGACATTCAGAAAATAGTTGTCATATAAAACATTTTTAGCTGTCAGAGTGAGGGGATAAGAATAGTAATAAAAGTGTCTCTGAGACACTAATAGTTTTTTCTAAATTAATTTTTTGGTGAAAGTTTAATTTAGTTTAATTTCCTAAAGCTCAACGTGATGTTGCAAATTTTTTTCATTTTTACCCTCGGTTTACCTCTAAAAACCAAAACACATTAAATCAATTATTACATAAGAAAAAAGTGGTTATTTCTCAGAAGCTGGAGCGAGATAATATTTTGGATTTTTGCTTTGAAAAACATGAACTCAGAAATTAATTGGTCATCAGTTATTTCTTTAGATCTGCGTTTTAAAAAAAGCCGATTTCATTATCCACTGCAAGTGTTTATTTAGTCGTAGAGTTTCTGTAGCGCCTCCATCATCTTTTCTTATTCACTCACTTGACTTCTCTCCACAGAAACTAAAAGGTCACACACACGGTGATTCATAAAAAGCTACTTACTGTACAGTCATTCGTGCCACAGACTCCAAGTAGCAGTATCCTGCCGCAGTGAAATTGTCCTTGTAGCGTCCCATGTCCACTGCGTCCAGCCACTCTCCCACCGAGTTAAAGGACGGGAAGGAGGGGAGAGGTCTTTCTGCTAATGTAATGGATGAACTGAGGGTCCTAAAAGAAGCAGACATAGGGGTTGAGTGCTCAGAGATACATTTCTTGAGCCTGCTGTAGCGTATCACCGAACCATACCTGCGTGCCAGTGTGGAGGAACCAATGCCGTCAGGGGAGCGAATGCTCTTGCTGAGGGCTGAGTGGATCTGGCTGAAGCTGGGCCGCTCCGTCCTCTCCTTCTGCCAACAGTCCAGCATCAGCTGATGGAGATGTGGAGGACAGTTCACTGGAGCTGGCAGCCTGAAACCGTCCTCGATGGCCTTTATCACCTACAGGCAGAAACACGAAATCAATATCAGGTTAGAAATGTCTGAATTAGTGTTGTGGTTTTTCCAAGTATTTATAGGGTGAGTGGATAAATTCCTCAGCAAAGGGGAAAGAAGTGAATAATGTAGAAAAGAGCTGTGTGTTAATTTTCTCTTCTCACCAATTACACAACCTATAATGACAAAGATCCAGCCTGATGCAGTTAATGTTAAAGCTACACTGAGTTTGTGTTACCTGTCCCTGACTCGCATGGTTATTCTTCACAGATTACTGACATGTGCAGTGTAACAATCAGGGGTTGATTGATCAATGGGTTGAGTCTGGTATCCATGTGTGACTGATGGACAATCAGCAGAAATTTGTCTTGTAACTTCTTTAAGTTTTATGTCTGTGAATTAAAGACAAAACTCCTGGCAGGTTTGAAAAAGAAGCGAAATAACCGAATCCAGTATTTTCTCCTGCCCCACTCGTCTGAGGAAATGATTTGTCTCCATTAAGCATTTTCATTTAGTGTTGTGAAACCTCCCCGTATTCACACATCAGAGCAGGAGAGCCTCCCTCCAGACGTCCTCAATGTTCCTCCATCAGACTAATGTTGTCCCCTCATTCTGAAACCATTCACTCTAACAGCTCACCAGAGATTTCCTCTGCAGCCTATATCTAGGGACTTGCAATACATCCTTCTCCTGAATTAGTCGCAGAAGGAGGAAATAAAGTTGGAGCGTAATCACAAAGATGACATCCATCAGCGGCATTATTTCCTAAAACACTCGCTCTTACCTCTGCCCACCAGCCCACTCACCCTGTGCCCCACTCCACCGTCCTCTCAGCTCCCTTAAGCTCCCATCTCACTAAAGAGCATTCATAAAATGCTTTTCAGCATTTGACATTTTCCATTTAATCAAAGCCGGTGCGTAAAGGCCACGATGGATCACAGGTGGACGGGCCGAGCGACAATTCCGTTATGATATAATGTATCAATTTAAAATGGATTAATATTCCCAGCGCTCTACAAGCTTGACCTTTGCCCCTTCAATTGGAAAGTTTGATAACACGGACGAGGCTGAGCGGAAACTTTCCTCTGCTTTGTGAAAGGGCAGCGGGGGGAAAAAATCACTAAAAAGCTCCCCATTCTTCTGCCTGCTGAATAACTCATGCATATTAATTTTGGACATTCAAAAATGGAACATGCTACTAATCCGTTGCTTTTTAACCATGCGCCCACCTGCATAAAGTGTACACATTATTTTCTGATGACATTAATTTAATAGGGCTTTAGCATTGAAACTTTTAGACACGGAGAACAATTATAAGTATCTTAAAATTAAATAATCTCAATAAAAATAATCTCAAAGAATATCGGCTCTATCTCTTCTCTGACTTCCTCTAAGAGCCGAATAAAAATCTATTTTGGTTTATTGAAGGACAAAAAGGTAAGTGAGTGACGACAGCAGAAGACCGTCCCACCCACATAGACTTGGAAATAACAGGTTGCGAGTGACAAGCGTCAGGATCCAATCGACGGAACAATCTCACCCACTCTCAAATAGCGAGCGCTTTACATTTCCTGAAAGAGGCAGATTTATTTTATTTTATCCCCAGAAAGGATTTTCAGCACTTTTAAGAGCAGGACGGCACTCAGGGACCAGTGGGGGCCACTAGAAGGGGGTCAGCGCGTCCTTACAAGAAAACAGGATTGGTCATGGAGCTGATGCAGACTTAAAAAGGGGGACTTAGGCCCTGCAAAGGCTTTCAGAGGTACAGCGGCTTCTTGACTTTCTTTTAATAAGATCCGAGCTTGGCGTGGATACAGAGTTCATTGATAAAGCGACTTTGTGGGAGGTGAAAGAGCGAGGGAGGCTGGTGAAGTGCAGATATTGAAATAAAAATGGGAGAGAAAGGAATTGAGAGAATAGCTGGGGAGAGATTAATACTGAGCATCCTCCAATCTGTGTCCCCCATCTCCCTCTCAACTTACATCCTGATTGCCCATATCCCAGTAGGGTCTCTCTCCGTAGGACATGACCTCCCACATGACGATGCCAAAGCTCCAGACATCTGAGGCGGAGGAGAAGCGATGGTACTGGATGGCCTCCGGAGCGGTCCACAGCACCACGCTCTTCCCTCCGTGCTGGCGGACCGAGGAGAAGAAGGTAAAACAGGGAGCACAAGAAAATGTAAAGCCTTAATATTGACTTTGAAAAGCTGCAGTAATATTTTTCGGTAGATGAAAAGAATCTCTTGGAAAAGTGGGTTTAGCCGGAGAGGAAACCAAAAATATCCACGGAAACAAGGCTTAATTATATGACTTCAACTGAACCTAACATGACACGTGTTAGAACTCATTTGGTCCGAGGCTCATTAAAAATAAAACCGCTACATGCACGAACTCCATGCCAACTGGCTTTGTACCACACTGAGGTTCATTAATTAGGGAAGTTAAAGTTTACATCCTGGTTGAAGAATAAAACATAGCCTTTCATATTTATTTTCCCTTACCAGTGTGGTGTAGATGGCCTCTATCTTGTCCTCCTGTAGAGGTCTGAAACCAGACACCTTGCAGTTGAGATTGGCGTTCACCAGCACCTGAGGTTGACAAAACAAACTGGTTACACGTGGAGGAGCCTGAGATGTCAGCACCCGGTTGGGCAAAGCTTTTATTGCACCAGGGGCTGATTGATTGTTTGCGAGGACAAATGGTCTTTCCACAACGTGATCAGTGCATTTGCAATTTGACAGATGAGTTCTTTTAGGAGAAAAAAGAACACCCAGTGAAAACGGGTTTGACAGCTTTGTCTTGTCATTTTAAACTTCACATGTTCCTCAAATAAAAACCTGCAGCTGAGTGATTGTCAAAGATGTTTGCAGACGAGGACAAATTACGTTCCTGCGCTAGCCCACCTGCGATATCTTTCCAATAGCCCGAGACGTATACATCACGCTGCACCCTCTCCTCCATCATCTCCTCCCACCTGCTCCCTCACCTTGTGCGCGGCCAGCCGTTTGTGGACGAAGCCCATTTCGGTGAGGTACTTCATCCCTGATGCCACCCCGGTCAGTATATCCATCAGCTGCATTACACTCAGCTGGCCTTCATGTTTCTGGAGTCATCAGGGGAGAACAAGGGAGGAAGGAGATTAAAAATGAAAGGAGAGGGGGAAAACGATCGAGGAGAGAAGTGTATAGAATGCAGAGATCCAAAAAAACAGCCAACACATCTGTTACTACGACACGATGTTGTGCTCACTGAGCTGAATCCTTTTATTTGGAGAATAAAAACAAACAGGCCATTAATTCATATCATTATAAAACATGCCGCGGTGGTTCACAGAGCAGTGGGGCACAATTACAGTTTACAGCAGCTTACAGCATCTCTGAGCTGAAACACTCCATTTGTGCTGTTAATTACGTTACGTTTCCCTTATTGCTGTAATAAGCAAGTATTGCTGCCCTAGGACTGCACCATAATAGAGGGGAATTTAGGATTATTACAACAAAATACCCTATTTATGAAGGCAGACGATTATAATGAGGGTTGATTCTGTAAATAAATTCAAGAATAATTCCAAAAAAAAAGAGAACGTACCCTCAGGAAGGAATCTAAGGCTCCGTTAGACATGCTCTCCACTATGATCATCATGGTGTTACCTGGAGAGAAAAAGCAAGAGAGCAGGGAATGTGAGAGTGAAATTGGGATAAAATTGTGGGGAATCGGGGGAGAAAAAGAAATCTAGAGAGGTAATAGAGATGGAGACACGGAGGGAGGGGGCGGGAGGGAGAGATTAAAGTGAGTCCAGTCCACTTGGCAGCGCGGCAGACATTGTGCAAAGCCATTCTTCACCCACTGAACTGTGGTGAAGCCAGGAGAACCTGTGTGCTGCCCCGGCTGTCTCAGCAAGTTTAATGACCCACACACACACGCACGCAAACACACACCTGATCTGTGCACGGCAACACACACTACACATGTGCACAACAGATGCATGTGTCCACACACACACACACACACTAACGCACAGTGTGCCCAGGCACAGATGGCAGAAATCCAGCGCTGTGCTATGAAGTGCACAGAGGAGGATAATAAGACCGCAGCAGTTGGAGGAAAGAGGAAACAAGGAGAAAGTAGGAGAGGAGTATGGAAGTGTGATACTGTCAGGAACAGCTTGATAGATATGTAAACAACTTAGTATCTGAAACAACATATCCTGAGATAGGACGCTGGGATATAAATCCTCACAAACTGTGCAGGCGTGTTAGAAAAATGCTAACTTTGTAATGTGATAAAGACAATTCATGATTTGAGATGTATTACAGGGCCCCATGGCACGAAGCTATTTGGAGAGGTTACCGTCGACACTCGAGGACTGTGAGTCGGCGCGGGGGACAGCGTCGCGTAATACGCCAGCCATCTTGTAATTGATGCGAGTCGAAGGGTGCATCGCTGGTGTCGCTCTGCGTTGGCATGACAGACACGTACAGCGACGAACAAGGATCGCTTGTGTCACACGCTTCGCTGCTAAAATAGACGTTGTGTTTTAGAAGACGTCGGGTGAATTTGCAATTCCTGACAGAAATGTAAAGGGAGGAAAGACTGAGGGAACGTGAGCGAGAAAAACACAGATTCAAACATACGCACTTGTTATCCATCAGAAAAATCATTCATTTATAGAATTCTGCCGTTTGAATAACAGCCTCTTTCAAGGCCCCGATCAGGTCCAGCTAAAGTTGAAAGGAGGAATTAATTCCTGTCCTTGTTAGAGGACAAACATATCAGCCCATCGTACTTGGTAATCCAGCCAAAGAACCCAGGGACAGGTTGGTTTTGTAATGTGAGGTAATTTCAATGGTGGCAAATCCACAAACTGTAATCGTCTTAGCTGTGTGTGGTTATAAAAGCCTGTGCTGCATGTTTGACGGTCCCTCAAACCTCCGATCAGCGCAGCTCTGTGCCGGTTTATGAACATGTGCGTATTTCTAATCAAGATCAGAGTGAAACCTGTGCTAGTGCAACTGTGGTGTCGTCTTCTAAATGTAACAATAGACTGTAGATTTCCACCATCGAGAAATAAAACCAAAATATCCCGATAGGAACGCTGCCATTTTGCTTGACAAGACACTTTGGCTTCACTTTTGGTGGACAGAAAAATGCAATCACACTTCATGTCGGTCGCCTCCTGTTTGTTTCTACCCTGAGGTGACAAAATACTTTAAATACTTTAAATACCAAACAATAAATGACACAAAATCACCGTGTTGCATGTCCTATGATCTCATCAGACTGAAATCTGTTGGTGGGAATGAGGTGGAGCAAGTGGTGGAAGATTCGAGAGGACACAAGACACACTCATGTTTTCATGTGGCCCTGAATGAATTAAAGCATGTGGGGAGGAGGAGGAGGAGCAGGAGGAGGAGCAGGAGGAGGCTGTTTGCAGGTGGGCTAAGTGGGGGGGTAAGTGATGTAAAGCAGGTGATTTGTAGTCAAACAGTGTGTGTGTGTGTGTGTGTGTGTGTGTGTGTGTGTGTGTGTGTGTGTGTGTGTGTGTGTGCGTGCATGGATGTGTGATTTTATGCCAAGTGAGGCAAGCAAGCAGGTGTGTGTGTCAATAAAAGTGAAAAAGAAGCGACCATATGGGATCACTTTTTTGTGTGAGAAAAACATTCATGTGAGTGTGTTTGTGTGGGTGTGTGTGTGTGGTGGGAGAGATTGGAGTGGATCTCAAGGCCCCACTGGGTCTCTAGCACCAATTACTGTACCCTGCACATCTGCTGCCATCCTACTGAGCACAGAGTGTGTCCAGGCACTGTGCCTGCCCACACGCACACAGAGACACAACCACACAGACGCACACACACACACACACACAGTATCATTCCGGCAGTAACAAAAACTTCACAAACTCTTTAAAGCTTCACCCTTCACCTGCCATTCCCATTAACCTCTACCTCATCTTCTCTGTCTCTCATGTCTCTTTTCTCCGTCTCCCTCCTTAGACCATCTTTTTTTTTTTTTTTGCTTCCCCTCCCTCCGTCCCGTTTTCGGTCAAGGACCTCAATTGCTATCTGTCAGCGGAAAATGGGCCTTGATGTGGCTTGTCTGCCGGTAGCGTACATCTATCCCCGCCCAACTCTATCCTACTCTTCCTCAACCTCCACTCTTTTTTCCACCCTGCAGTCGCTGCCCTCTCAGCTGTGATCACTGACCCCCTCCACGTGTGCGATATTGAAGTGGTCGGAGCGTCCCGGTGCTCCGATCCTCCCCTCTTCCGTTCATCTCCTTTGCTCCAACTCCAGTTTTCCTCTGCAGAGGTGATGACCCCATCTAAAGCTATGATACTGAAATAATGAAATTCCAATTCCCTTATTTTTGTCTTCCTACAGCTCACTCCCTCTTCCTCTGAAAGAGATGAATCCCCTTTATGATACCGAAGGTGGTCAAACTGTCCCACTCCTCCGATGATCGGCAGTATTTTTTCTCCTCTGTGCAGTCCCTCCCTCCCCTTCTTACCGGTGGTGATGACGCCTTCCAGTCGGATGATGTTGGAGTGGTCAAACTGCCCCAGGATGCCGGCCTCGCTGAGGAACGAGCGACGCTGTTTGTCGGAGCAGCCGGCCCTTAACGTCTTTATGGCCACTGGCAGCTCTCTCTTACTGGGCAGCTTCAAGCAGCCACGGCACACCTCCCCAAAGTCACCTGTAGGGGGAGATAGAGAAACAGAGGTCATGATCCTTATTGATTTCCTCTTTTTGTCCACATACATTTTTTCTCGTGGCCCTAATCCTCCTCCGTATGAGGAGCAACCAGGAAAAGTGGAGGAAAAACAGGTCGGACTGATGACATGGAGCAATATCTGCACAAAGATCAAAAGAAAGAAATGAATAGAGGTGAGGCGCGGGGGGCGAGAGAGCGGTAGAGAAACACAAACATATTGGACGAGAAAATAAGACGACGCATATGTACAGACACGGCTGAGAGAGAGAGAGACACGTGAAATACAAAGGGATCAAAGAGAGATGAGAGATAAGGTTCGGTGAAGGTGAAACTGTGGAACGAGATACGAGGCAAATCTAACAACCAAATCAATTTTTGGTAAAGATGAGAAAGTTTAGAACTGACTGAAGTTCTCCAGTTTTGTCTTAAAGCACACTGAGTCAAGATTGCTGCAGCCGTGGATCGTCGCCGTTCGCTTACTTTGCTCATAATGTGTAATAACGTCGCATAAAACTTCACATATTGAATGGATTTAAATAAAGCACCTTTTTTATATGACAGATCACACATTCAGAACAGCCACAGTCTATTATTCACACGCCGGCACAACCATCAGGGGCAGTTTGGGGTTCAGTGTTTTGCAAAAGCACACTTTGACATAGAAACTGGGAAATTGAACCATCGACCTTCCGATGAGTGGTCGAGCTACTCTGTACGGTCTGATCCACGAGTCCCATTTTTCAAATTGTTCTTCAATTTCAAAATGGGGACACGGAGACTTTTACTTGTCATCTTGTGAAAACAGTTGTAAAATGTCTGCTCCGAAGGAAACTTTTCTAGAGTCTGAAAAAGCACTTATTAGTACCTGCTGATGTAAATGCATAAAGGCTTTGTCTTGTTTTGTCTACAGGTTGCACTGCAACTCAAAATACACAACATATTAGAGATCTGGGAGAATCTCTTAGACGTCTGGGCAGTATAGCTGAAGTACACTTTTAAAAGGAAAAACACTTTCTTTGTATAATCTTGTACCTGTGTGCACTATCCTCTCTATCTTGATGCTCGAGTTGTCCAGTTCCTTGGCAAAGGCGTGGACGGCCTGCAGCAGGTCTTCACAGGTCTCCGGGTCGATGTAGGTCCTTCGTGTTGGGATCTTAACTACAATGGGGCAGAAACACACAATATAGATTAACCTCCATAAAAAATGTGAAGACATTTAAAGATGTTAAGACTTGTCTTCACAAAACAACACACGATAAAAATGAAGAGTCTCTGCACCAGCAATCCACATGATACTCAAAACGGATAAAAAGAACCACTCTTAGATATCATTAAAGTGTGTACGGGTAAAAATAAATACAGCGAGCTAGTCAACTGTTTTGTTTGTATAAAGACATGTCTGTGGTCCCGGCGGTGTGCTCTCGCGGCACAAAGCAAAACATTCTTCATGTCGGGTTCGCTTTGTGCTCTACTGAGGCTGCAGTCAGAGGAGAAATTGGTAGCTTTGCCTCCTCCAACAAAGAATTTCTCTCTGTGGCTGTGATTGTTAAATTTCAGACCAAAATGTTGTGTCTGGGAAGAAGCCCTTGCTCTTTGATCCAGAGACTGAAATCAATACCCAGAGTTCTACCACTGATGTGTGAGATCGCTGAAACATTTTCCGCCATCAAACTCCAATTTAACCGCAGGCCTGCAGCAGAAATCTGAGTTTGACATGTTATCTGCGGATATAACAACCAAACACAGCACTCCAAACACTTTCTGATTCTTGATATAAACTGTTTAGAATGAGTTTGCTTCCGTTTTTGGATTCACAACTTGTCTAATTCTCTGTTTTTGTTTGTGTCGACCTTGCTAGACAAAGAAAAACTGAGATCATAAGCTCCAAGTTCTCAACTGACTTTGGGTTTCGTCCACAAGGGTTTACTCAGATCACAGGGCTCTTGCACCAGGCCCTTTGTCTCTTTCCTGCAGGCTTCAAAATATTATCCCACTAACACACTTATGCAAAATAACACACAAACACAACATAATCTGCAGCCAGAAACTGGGACAGGACATAATAGACAGTAAAATGCTGAGACAAGGAAACGTTATGACACCACGGTGCTTGTGCTCGACTGCTGCTTTGTCGTTAGTTTTAGAGTCTGCGTACTAGTTCTCCCAAGTAAATGGCAGCTTTGGAACCTCAGCACACCCAAAAAAAATGTAAACAAGTTTATTATGTCTCCTTTAAAACTAGAAAGGCTCAAATTCACAGTTAATATCCCAAATCCATCCACAAATAAAAAAAGGTTACTTTTACTAATTTGCTTAATTTCTTCCAAAGGGTTTTTTTTTTCAAAATCGTTACTGTGACATTAATGAGACACAATTGGAAATGTCAGCTGACATTTAGAGCTGGGAGAATTATTGACCCCGACTGTTTGACTACACACAACCAAACAAAAACACCAGCCGTCCTCTCAGCGAGCTCCGTTTTCTTGATCAACTGCCGGATGCCAACAACTACTGAATAAACCATCGCCAGCAGCAAATAACTATTAAACCAGGGAGGTATAGCTTTCAATTAGATGACCTTTGACCCTTGTTACTTCATGTTATCTTCCTGGAAATCTTCCTGGAAAACGTCTGGTAGTTCTCCCAAAAGCGGGGCAGAGGCCCTGAAATGTGATTACGGCTTCAGATCGACCTGAAGAATCCTATACTGGCTGCCTAATAACGGCTTATTGATCCAACACACACACACACACACACACA